ACACACCCGCACGCACGCGCACGCACACACACACACACGCACACACACGCACACACACGCACACACAAATACATGTAAATACACACGAGCAAAAGCACACATGCATGCAAACACGCACAAGCCATAATCGCCGAAGTCAGAGTAGGCTCAAAATGGTTATCTCCCCATCCACATGACGGGAATACGTGGCAAGTTTTAAGAAAATAGAGAAATGGTGCAACTTTGTGTGTGAAGAACTCTCCTCCTAAACAGAAATAACACAGAATTACAAGGCCTGGTGGAACTTGTCTCTTGTTCGTGCCCCCCCCCCCCCCACAAAAACATATGAACTAAAGCTAGCGGCAGGCGCTTCTAACGTAACGTCTTTTGCATAGCTGCGGGAATTCAATCAGGTCAAGTCTCTCACCTGGTCAAGGCCCAGCCAGAACATGGCCTGCTCACGGATCATCTGTATATCCCGCTTCTTTGAACGTGTACACAGTGGGTAGTCTTCAGCCACTAGGGTGGAAGCGTCCAAGGCGTGCGCACAGCTTGGTGCGCAGCAGGTAGATAAGCCATGCTGTAAACACTCCTCGCCCGATGTTTCTCCGCAGGGGCATGGCAATGTGCTGATCACTTCGACCTGCAGGCCCCACTTCCATAGCACTGTGCGCACGATTGCCCGGACATCATCCAGCGTGGACTTTCCGCTGCCGCCGTGTCGGCCCTCGCACTCGACGTACACTTGTAAGCCGTAGCGTGTATAGTGCAGGTGCAGCCATGGACAATCGTTCCAGCGAACGCGAACGCTGCACCGTGACAGCGTGGCAGCCGAGCGATTGTGTGACTTCAGCAGCACCTCCACCACGCACTGCCAGTACACGAACACGGGAAAGTGCATCAACTCATCGCGGTGTGCGTGCTTAAAGGACACGTAGGCACAGGAACAAGGCAGCTGCGGGTCCGTGCCCATGTCCCGGACGATTGCAGGTACAATAAACTCGTGCTCAGCAGACCTCTCATCCTGCACAATTGCCAGGACTGAGAGCCATTCTAGGATTTCAAAAATGAGCTTGAACCCATCACTGCTTGCTCTGACTGCTTGCCACGCCTTAGCATGGTCGCAGGAAGACTGACCCTCGAACATCTTGTTGAGAGCTTTGCGTGCCAGGGACTCCGTCATGAACCCAGACTTATAGCGCCGCTCTTCGTGCACTGTGATGTCTCGGTCAAGCTTCATGTAGACAAAGGCATTGACACAGTCCAGGATGAACTGGGGCTCCAGGATGACCGTGTCTTTCAGCTTGAAAGTTGGGAAGTACGCCAGGTGGCCTGCTTCGTGGCAGTACTTCAGCAGCAGCTGTATTTGCCGGTCACTGCAGTCATGTGGAACAGCCTTGACTTGCTTCGCTATGAACTTTGCCTCCTTGAAGGAAATCCAAGGCCACGTGACCTCCTGCTTGAGCGTGTGTATGGTTATGCAGAATCGGAGCCATGGAACAGGGATGTTACGTTGGCTCTTCTGGCAGCGGTCAATGATGGCCTCTCTCAATCGCTGCAGCTCATCTGCTTGTGCTGCACTTCCAGTGGATCTGGTGCTGTCGATTTTGAAGTACGATGTTTCGTTCCAGACAAGGTTCTTATACGGCGAACCTTCTATATTCACTTGAAGTAGTTTACAAGGATCAGGCAAATCGGTTTTCTTCCACATATCACTCTGACACCCCACTACAAACACATCATCTGCAGCACTCTGGTCTGTGCTGCTGTCAGCTTTCGCATTCAGCAGCAGCATGTCGAGCCAGCTTAGCAGCTGGTCTAGGCGAGTCGCATTGGCCGGTAGAGTGGCCCGCTCGATACATTCTTCCTGGCTGAACTGAAATTTATCGAGCTTGGGAAGGGTCTCTAGAAGATCCAGAGAAGAGTTGTATGTGGCAATAAAGGTTGTGTTTTTGGCCATGAAGAGGGGCTGCACGGATTGGTAGACTTGCTGCCCTCCAAGGTCGCGGAATGTGATGACGGTGTAGTCGGGCGTGTTGGCCTGGTCAGAGATGTACTTTACCCGGTCTGCGTTGAGAAATCCTGTGATGGTCTCATGGATTTCCCCGCGCATTGCTGGCCCAACGCTGCTGCTGCTGCTGCTACTGCTGCCCTCCATAGGTCCTGCATGGGTCCCAGCCACAGGATCCTCTCCTGCTGGGGCTCTCTCTCTGTCATCTTGTGTTGTCTCTTTGCCTTGGGGATGATTCGAAGTGGATGGTTTGCACATCATGGTGATGACGTAGAGTCGACTCAGAGCATCTGGCATGTCTGGGCATTCGATGAATCGACAGTCATCAGAGATGCTTGTAGTTGCGTAGGACGTGCGCATGCCGGGCGTGCTGGGTTCATTCTCATCGTGCATCTTCTCAAGCAACGCCTTCAGCAAGCTGGTCTTTCCAACGCGCGCCGCACCAAGTATTGCCACGTGCAGGAAACGGATGACGGTCGTACCGCCCAACCTGGCTGCCTCCTGCTCTGCTGCTTCGAGTTCACTGATACTTGGCAGAACAGCAGTATCTCCTGGGCACAACGATAAGCACAGCACACATAAAAAAATGTTGTGTAACTGCAGGTGACATTTATAGTTTGTTGTTTCTTTTGTATTGCTAGCAAGAAATCATACAGTACAGGCAACAGGAATGCAAACCAAGTGAGAGTGCATCTTCACTGCATGCACTCGTATTATGAAAAAGCCTGCTTGCCTCGCAATATTACGGTCACGGGTGTGTCTGAAAGTCATTGCTTCCCGCAGAATAACCACTCCATCACCGGAATATTGGCAGACAGGAGACACCTGTTATGGTGTTGTTACAGTTGAGGCACTGGGTTTTAGAGTCTAGGGGCGTCACACACGGTACCACCAGCACCACCATGCTTGTACCACTTTTCGCCCCAGATGCTGCGCCCAATTCATCCAAAAAGAAGCAATAAAAGAGCACTAAAATGTGCCCTGTTCACCCAAAAATCACTATTTACCAATGTTGCAAAGAATAGCAAAATCACAAACGAATATTCTAACAAATATGCACAGTACGAAAAATATTCTACTATAGGGCTTGAAAGTGCTACGTCACAGCATAGCAACAATTTCAAAAATTCAAAAATTGGATCCACTTGGATCCAGTTTTTGTATGGATCCAAGCACATTTCAAGCCGTCTTACTCACAGCAAAGTGATGTAACCAGTGAAACTGACTGATTTGGCTACTGGGGGCGGGGTTACAACTGGTGGCGAAGTAAAAGTCACCCCTGCATACGACATGAGTGGGTTGCTATGCACCCACATACTGAGGCAATAGCAAAGTCACACCTTAGTGGATCCAAAATATAGAAATCTGATGTCAACTTACTACTCCCTGGCCGTTTTTGACGTCATCACTTTCAAGCAGTATTCTACCCTTACAGACGAGCCCATTTCAGCACACTATGCTTTTTGTTTATTTGAGCCAGCACGTGCTTAGACATGACGCCAGCTTTTGTGGAAAAAAGTCGAGAAAATCGCGATTTGAATTCCGCGACAACAAAATACGAAGTGGAGTGCGACGCGAGTTGCTGTTCTTGTTCTCCTCGGTAGACTGGACTGTTCTGGATGCAACTCTTTGTTGCAAGTACATGAACGTTTATTCGTTTGAGTTTGGATTCCATGTTGCGCTGAGTCTCCTAAAACGGATCGTCAACGATGTATCGAAGGAAGAGGCTAATGTACTTCGGAGCGCAAGAAGACGACATCCTCGCGTTCCATGCGCGGGATGAATTATTTTGTGGACTTGCATGGGAAACAGAAATCTCAAGTCTCTCAAAACTCTCCCACACGGAGCTAGCTTTACGATCCGACATCACGAATTTCTACTGACTTGAAACTAAGCAAAGCGGACTGATACGATACGAAACTAACCGGGAACTGCTACAAACTACGAAGAAGAACATAAGTATTTCTTGCGAAGGTGCAAACTACAAACGGCGCGTAAGTCAAACTGGGCAGCAGCGACAAGCGACAATAATTATGTTGATGATGTCGTTTGTTGCTCAATTGCAGGGACTGTTGCACATTCTACGATGCAAGAACGCAGTGAGCGTGCTGCGATGAGCGAATTAAGCCTTTGTACGGAAAGTTGTACACAAAGTGTAGCATTTCGAATATTCGACTTCTGACACTCATGTTCGAATATTCTGTGATGGAAGATATTCAAGTATTCGAATATTCGTTGCAACACTGCTATTTTCCCCTCGGGCTTTTTTGATGCCATTCTACGAAAAGTGTAGTGGATAGTCACTACTGGAGGGTTCATAAAGGCACATTTGTCTGTTGTGAAGTCGGGGGTTCACCCCGTACATTGCATTTTGTATGGCAAGACAATTTCTGAAAATGCAAAAATGGGTTACGGGGTAACTGCTTCCCATACCCCCCCCCCCCCCCTCCCCGCCCCCCCCCCCCCCCCTACTATTTTGACCTGGCTAGAACCCTGCCATCATATCTTCTTCCTAATGGTACTACTGTTGTGGACATGGAAATCCGGTCGCACGTCTAGCGGCCCCAGGGTGCTGGCCATGCAGCCGTGGATAAGCGGTACACACATGCATTTTATGCGCTGCAGCGCGCGGGTCGCATCGGACCAACATGTGCCCAGCACGGCAGCGTTCTGTACGCGCTGAGGGCGCCGGCCCCGATCAATCGACCGGATTTCCATGTCCACGACAGTACTTGGGGACATACAGCTCTATTGCTTCCAACTGGACATATGCTTCGTTAGTTGCTGCTCATCATGAGCAAGTTGCTGCTAGCGGCCTAGCATTGCTTGCCAGCTCTTCGAGCTTTTGCATTATGAGACCAGTTACTCAAAGTAACACATTGTTTCCAAAGCCAGTCATTGTTGCCCTGACTGAGTGTGAATATGTGAGGGATTGGACGCTAAATAGTATTCCAATCAGTGATGGACACTAACTAGGGCTGAAACGATCGTGGATTTTCACGTATCGATTACTCTTTAGCTTAACGATCGAGTAATCGATTATAATCGTTAGCAAATAGTCACAATTCTGTGCAAACATTACTCTGTTTCCACAAACTATGCCTTCATAATACCAACAAATCTGCATTAGTGAAAGGGTAGCTCCGAAACATGGCAGTTTTGAATTCAATTTAACCTCAGAACATGAACCATACCCCTGGCAACTGCATACTCCCAGCAGCGGAAACTGATTCAAACTAACTTCACAAAACGAGGGTATACAGTACTTTCTGGACACAAATTTAAAAAACGCAAAATAATCGTAATCGGTAATCTAAACGATTGCTCGATCGTTAGAGTTATCAAACGAGTACTCGATTATTCGGTTAATCGTTTCAGCCCTAACACTAACCCATTTTTCAAGAACGAATACCGTATTTTACCGGTTGTAAGTCGACCCCCGTATCCGAGGTCTCATTTCTGCGTTTTATAGTTTTCACCCAACGAAGCACTACCAACCCCTCCCTGCTACTAACACATCAACAAATCATGTAAACGTTCCTTATTGGAGGGTATAACGCCCCAATCCTTGAAATACGCCAATAAACCGGCAAACATGTGTACACATGGTGCACTCATGCATGCAGGGCTGATCATTTTGTGTAAGATTCCGATAGTTCCCGGTTATAAGTCGAATCCCGGTTGTAAGTCGACCCCCACCCTTTCTCCTTCTATTTTTAGACGCAAAGGTCGACTTACAACCGGAAAAATACGGTACTCTATCGAATACCAAATCTTCGAACGAACGGATAATCTAGTGTTCGTTGAAATTTCTTGACGGCCCACAAACTTCTGCATTGCGTCTGTGCTTTTTGCCTGGGATACCTTCGCATCCGTGGCAGCTACAGCCGTCGAGCAAGTAACACGCCGCCGGATAAGATGTTCCCGCATTGAGCTCGTAGTCAAGCCATTGAACTTGAGTTTGAATTGAACTTTTGCGCCTCCATCAACTTTCTCGAAGTGCTCCTAAACGGAGCTGCTACGACCAGCTGTGCCAGAAGCCATCATGAAAAACGAACTGGATGTCCAGAACGTTCTTCAAAGTGAAAGAGAGGGGTGAGTTGGACCGAACTAAAGTAGTAAAGAAGAAGGCACCATGGGCTCCCACTTCACAACAGTACAGTGTGTGTACTGTACTCGTACAATTACACGTGCCCTTCGCAACTGTACTACAGTGCCGGCACTCTATTGTTACTACTACTGTTTGGCGCGCGCTCACACAGGCCGGATTCGTCAAGTACACGTACGGAAACCGCTGTACTGTAATCTGTAGCAGCGGCCCTCGCTCTACTGCCGCTAGCGCAGGGTCCACATGTACTCGTACAAAACTAGCATGCATGCCACACATAGAACATGATTGTACAGCTCTTCGAACGAACTTTATTACTATTCGACTATTCGTGTGCATCACTGGTCATGACTCGTAACTTTTTGGCGGAAAAGAAGTTTGAGAATTGATTTGTCACTTACCTGCCTGCAGCTGTTTGGCCTCCTTCATAGAGAGTCAGAAAAAAAACAGAGGCACAAATCACACGTATGTGTTAGATATGCTCTCTCTCTCTCTCTCTCTCTCTCTCTCTCTCTCTCTCTCTCTCTCTCTCTCTCTCTCTCTCTCTCTCGGTGGTCGTTCGTTCGCCCTCGCTGGGCAGTACAATTTAGGCCCTAGCGGGCAGTATGCTTTTCCCTTGGCGGGCAGGTTGTCGGCATCGGTGGCTGTTCGTTTGCTCAATAGGCAATATGATTTATCCCTCGGTGGGCAGTATATATTCGGCCCATGGTGAGCAGCATGCTTTGGCCCTCGGTGGGTACTACGCTTTATCCCTTGGCGGGAAGTTTGCTTTAGCCCTCGGTGGGCAGGCTATTGGCCTCAACGGCCGTTGTGCACCCTCGGTTGGGCAGTATCCTTTAGCCTTCGGTAGGCAGGTTGCTGGCCTCGGCGGCCGTTCGCACGCCCTCGATTGGGCTATACGATTATTCTTCCGCCCTCGGTCGGGCTATAATCATGCGCCCTCAGTCGGGCTAAAATCATGTGCCCTCGGTCGAGCTATAATCATGCGCCCTCGGTCGGGCTACAATCATGCGCCCCCGGACGAGCTATAATCATGCGCCCTCGGTCGGGCTATCATGCGCCCTTGGTCGGGCTATAATCATGCGCCCTCGGTCGGGCTAAAATCATGCGCCCTCGGTCGGGGTACAATCATGCGCCCTCGGTCGGGCAATAATCACGCGCCCTCGGTCGGGCTATAATCATGCGCCCTCAGTCGGGCTATAATCATGCGCCCTCAGTCGGGCTATAATCATGCACCCTCAGTCGGGCTATAATCATGCGCCCTCGGTCGGGCTATAATCATGCGCCCTCGGTCGGGCTACAATCATGCGCCCTCGTTCGGGCTATAATCGGGCTATAATCATGCGCCTTCGCTTGGGCTATACGCTTCTTCGCACGCCCTCGGTTGGGCCGTATGCCTTAACTCTCGATGGGTAAGCTGTTGGCCTCGGCGGCCATTCATGCGCCTGCAGCGGGCAGATTACTGGCCACATTTGTGCGCCCTTGGTGGGCAGTATGCTAACGGCCCACGGCAGGCGGGATTACTTAGCCCTCAGTGGGCTGGCTGTTGGCCTCGCTAGCCGCTCGTGTCACCGGTCTACGGTGGGCAGATGCAGGCTAGCCCTCGGTGGGCCGTTCGTGCGTTTGCCCCCGGTGGGCAGTGTGAATCACTGACAATCGAATGTCAGCCCTCACCATCGTCTACACGGATTTCAAAAGCGTCGACCTCCATTTTGAAAACATGGTGGCTGGCCGCGCTACCCGTAGGCGCACGTGCCCACCGCGTGTCTCAGCGCGAGCTTCGAGCTAAAGATCATGTCGCCCACTCATTTTCCTGTGTTTCCCCATTTCTTCGAACTCGCTCAGCTTTTGCTTCAGCTTTTGCTTCGCTCGTGCTTCAGCTCCACGCTGTAGTCTGAGTTTAGTTCTCTTGTCTTCTTCCAGCAGAATACTGCAAACTCTACAGCACGTCGAGCTCCTCCTAGATGAGTTTCTTTTGCGTCGAGGCAGACTGTCGATCGTTTCAGTCCTATCTTGCCGTCGTCTCATGAGCGCCCCGGAAAGCAACAGTATCTATTTTCTTGTCGTTCCACTTTCTGGCGAACTCATTCACCTACTACTTCTTCCTTTATGAAAGCTTCAGGTGGCTGAGTTCTCCCACTAGCGACAATCATGCCTTGGAAAAGAACAGGATATTCCTAAGGTATATACAGCCAGTGCAGTGATGTCAGTGTACTGCGCGTAGTTGTTTGTTTTGTCGAGAAAGAATCCCTTTCGCACTCGCGCGGGCCGCGAGGGCGCAGCACGGAAACAGGTCTATTGAATTCATTTCTTGGTCGATTTCGACAACCAATACGTCGTTGTTTTTCTTTTTTCACTGGCTTTCCTTTCTCCGCTTCCGAATTGCGATGCCGTCCACCTGGAAAGCCTTGAAGTGAAACGAGTGGAGGCCGGTTTCGGAGGTAATTTTCGGCCAAACGGCAATCAAATCGAAAAATTCGAAGCGGACGATCTGTTGGTATCTATCGAAAGAAGACGTTGGCCCATAAAAAATCTTTGGAAACTACACCGTATGAATCAAGGAATTACGGTAAGTTTGAGAATTTTGGTACATTAGCTGTATGCTGATTGGTCGATTAGCGCGACCGTTGAGAAACGGGCCAGTGACGCTTTGTACAGCGTTGGTGAGGGCTGAATGTGATGATGTGACTCAACTATTATCGTTTGTTTTCTTGGAACTGGTCTATCATCACATACTATTATCTTTAATCAAATTGAAGTCATAGAAACCCCCAAACCTATGTGTTGATTGCTTGTGAGTGAGTGCGTGAGTACATCGTTGTACGCACAGACGGGGCGTGGGAGTGTCTGCAATTATGTTTGTGCACATGAATGTGTGTTTGTGTGTGTGTGTGTGTGTGTGTGTGTGTGTGTGTGTGTGTGTGTGTGTGTGTGTGTGTGTGTGTGTGTGTGTGTGTGTGTGTGTGTGTGTGTGTGTGCGTATGCAGAGGTATGCCCGCAGACCTGGGTGTGTACCCGTGGGCCTGGGTTTTAAATTTTTAAATTCCCGTTTGAAAAAATATCCCACACACTACATTTGCAGCGCGCACTTTCAACATCGGCACTTTTGCTCGTGTGCAAAGTATAATTGTGAGCACAAGGGCCCCGGCCAAGTTCAAAAACCAGTTGCAAGCGTGTGTCCAAGTCTATCGTATGCGAGTAAATATCCTTGCAAACGGTACGATAAATTTGAGTTTGCACGTCGTGTGAATGGCCTACTTCCTCCGTTAATAAAAACTTCGTGATGGATTTTTGAGAGATTGGTTTGCACACAAACTGCTGTGAAATGAGTCGCAATCACTTTCTTGGCCTTCCCTGATATGCCATGAAAAAGGTACCATGCAAGGAAAGCGACCTTTCACAACAAGCGAGCGGAATCGATGGTTGAGCTGTGGCAACATAGCAACATAGGTGAGGACAGTAATGGCGAGCGAAATTGAAATATCACTTCTCCGAGGGGGTAATACGTTGTTTGGCCTCTCTACTACTCTAGCACTGAGTTTGAGAGCAATGGAACGGAGCAGCGAGCCCACACAATGAGCGAGTGAACAAGGAAGTGCTCCGATCGCACGGCGCAATGAAATAATTCTGAACTCAGGTTCTTGTTCAACCTGCGCAAAGCCCAGATTTGAATGCTGATGACCATGCATTCTTTCAGAAGTCTGCAGTCCGACGAAAGTCTCGTGGCTAAAGAAAGTCGACTGGACTTGCTAGCCGCTGCCGTTCAGTGCTGGCAGGGTATCAATCACAGAAAATGGAATCAGTTTGGCTGTGCCTTTAGTAGTCCTTTACTCCTCGTTTCGCGGAGTTCTGGAGAGCGAAGATGAAACCAGGGAGTCGTAAAATATTTTTACGACTCCCTGGTGGAAACGAGTAATCACCACCGCGGCGGATCACGCAGCTTGAAAGCACACTTACTTCAACGACGGCGACATCAAGTTCAGCGAAGTGTGATCAAAGAAGCCGAGGCAAGGCTGAAACGAGCTGAACAACGACTCGAACAAGATGACGACTCGCACGCAGCAGATGACGGCAGTGAACCAGGGTCAAAATGAGTCGAGCAAAAGCAACGCAAACTGAACTATCTGCTCATTCTGCCAATAGTTTCTCTTGTAAAGATGCTGTACGTAGGCTCAGGCGCGTGCTCGGCGAGGGGCACGGGGGGCACGTGCACCCCCCAAAAATTTTCAATCTGGGTTTTGAAAAAAATAATACTGCACCTCGGATGTGACACGTACACATGCAAACGGCCTTCTACACGTACACGTGCAAACGGCCTTCTACACGTACACGTGCAGCGCAAACAAGAATTTTGCATGTAGATCTACACTGTGCACAGCATAAACATTACCTTGCGACAGTCGGATTCTTTCCCGGTTTCGATTTCTTGCTTTCAGGTCTGGATTCTTTGATTTCTTTCCTGAAGTATGGGTATCTGACTATGACTGAGCTGCTCTTTTCATAATGTCAAATCGACCGCCGTCATTTAAGCGCAAAGCTTCCACGCTGCCGCAGCTAACTCTAAGTGAAGCGTTCGGTCGTTCTGCAACTGTTGCTGCGGGAGCTGTTGCTGCAGCGAAAAAAGTCTGATAATATTTCCTCGAGTGGCGATGAGGGTTCTTCAAGAGGTGAAGAGTCAGACAAAGTGGTAGTAGTTGAAGAGGTCGCAGGAGAAGTAGCCCAGGCTGCCGGGTCTACCGCGGTGGATAAACCCGACGAGGTTGATGTAGTCGCTTCAGGCGGCTCTCCAAACGACATTGGAGAAGGCTACAACCTTGCATCACAAAAGTGGACCTGTTTGCCGTCATCGTTGTCCTCTGATGAGAAGCGTCGATTGGTCGACCACCACTTTGTGCCAGGGCCAAAACACGACTTTCCTGTCCACACAGGAAATGATGGCAGAAACCGTCGTTTTCGTCACCAGTGGCTAGAGGACAACACGTGGCTGGTCTATTCACCCAAATGCGACGGGGGTTTCTGTCTTCCGTGCCTCCTATTTCCCAGTGATGCGGATCAGGGACAGCTCACAGCAAGACCTATGTCAAACTTCAAAAAGACCACCACTTTGCTGGACAAACACGGCTCACAGCCAACCCACAAAGACGCCGTTTCCAGGCAGGGCCAGTTCAAAAAAATTGCGGGGGGCTCCCCTCGGCTCCCGTGCACCCCCCCCCCCCCCCTAGTTGGGGGGCCGAGCACGCCCCTGAGGCTGAACTACCTTTGTCCAGTGATTTGCAGGCGAAACAAACTGTTCTTGACCTATTCTAAGCGTTTTCCTATCGATCAAAATCCATCACGAAGTTTTTGTTAACGAAGGAAGTACTTTGTCCGCCAAGTTAAAATTGCCACTTATCTTCATTCTTGTCTCAAAACGAAAATACAAATATTCGAAGCATGCCACGATCAGAAAACGCTATGTGTATGATACCGTATTTTCCGGAGTATAGTGCGCACTTTAGATGTGCTATTTTAGGCCCTAAATCGCAGGTGCGCACTATGCTCCGGATATGAAATGCATGTACTTCAATGAAGATTGAAGTGCGCACCCCCAATGAAGATTGGGGGTGCGCGTTATACAAAGGTGCGCACTATACTCCGAAAAATACGGTACTTTACACGTCAGAAAGCAACTCAGCCGAAAATCCTAGCAAGTTACACATCCTCCTCACCACTATCGTCGCTGGAGGAAGAGCTGAAAACATTCAATCCAGACAGATGCTGCTCGTTTCATAGCTTTTTCCACTTCTCCTCGTCTCGAATCACGCTCAAAGGCAGTCACCTGTCATGCATGTCATCTTGCCGATCAGAAGCAAGACTCTCAAGACGCATCGAGCGCGTCCTGGAATCTGTACAAAAGTCTAGAGCTCATACAGAGTCGATCGTTTCTTTCGCAGTGCAATCAATGCCGCTCACACACCAACGGCCCGTGCAACCTCTTTTGGACGACCCCTAATGAAAACTGTACAAGCTCACGCGCCCACAGACTCGTAGTACATGCCTCGTACGGTATGACTCATCATCTCCGGAAAAGTCAACAAAACGAAACATTCCGCCATGGCCAGACCAAGCGGAGTTACACACTCTCGTGTTTATGTAATCTTGATCTCATAGACAGCTGTACAAATGTAGGACATGGTGGTGGTAGGTGCACCGCACGTGACTCACGTGACACCTAGTCACTGCATAGTTCAACCAATCAAATGTACGACACGCTGCAATGTTTACTGTAGACACACAGTACATCTAAATTCAGTCACTCACAGTCAAGTCTATTCAACATACCTTCGCACTCTCGTGATCCACCAGCAACTGCACACATCTCTCATGCTTCTCTTGCCTGGCTAGATCCAACGCTGTTTTCCC